TCTGTGAAAAAAAGCCCTTGTCTGCCTGAACTTTGCAATAATAGTTGGTACTTCCTCCTGTTGCAATACTCCTTTGGAATTAAATTTTTTTACATAAATCTAACTTTGTTTCATTTTATAAAATTTAGAAACTGCCTCAAATCAATAATAACTTTATCTTCAGTAAGACCTTCCCAGTCCTTTTTCATTTTAATCTTAACTGCACCTGCCTGTGCATCTCTAGCTTCCCAGGGCTCTCAAGCTTCTCAGGATAAAGCCTTCTTCCATGGCTGAGGTGAGCAGGCTGAGATATCTGCAGAAAAGGCTCCCCAGAAAGAACCAACTGGACCTTTAATAACCTCCTTTTGCAGGCTCAATATTAGCTTTAGATGAGTTCAAGCTTTAATTTTCATATCTGAGTTATTCCCTTGGTGTCTGAAACTAAGTGTTTGAAAAATCCAGCAAAATTACTGAAACACAGTGTTGGCATACAAAAAGAAAATTTTAAGGTGCTTCCATTTCATACCTCTATAAGAAAACCAAAAGTGTCTATACCTTTCAAACAATAAAAGTATTATTTTATTATTTATTTTAAAAGTTATGTAGTAGGCCAGGCACGGTGGCTCACACTTGTAATCCCAGCACTTTGGGAGGCCAAGGCCAGCAGGTCACCTGAAGTCAGGAGTTCGAGACTAGCCTGGCCAACATGGTGAAACCCCATCTCTACTACAAATACAAAAATTAGCCAGGCTTGGTGATGCGCACCTGTAATCCCAGCTACTCGGGAGGCTGAGGCAGAAGAATCACTTGAATCTGGGAGACGGAAGGTTGCAGTGAGCCGAGATCATGGCACTGCACTCCAGCCTGGGTGACAGACCGAGACTCTGTCTCAGAAAAAAAGAAAGTTATGTAGTAAACAATTCGTCATATAAGAACACTTCTAGGAGGTACCAAATTTCATCTCATAACACTTAGCATTAAATTCAGAAATCAAGATCATAGGATACAGAACTGATATTCACTGTCACAAATTTATGGTGCAAAAAGAGGAACTATGTTTTCATGAATCTATGTAACTCACCAATTATCTACTACATTTTCTTGTGGAAATGTATTTAATTTTTACAGCCAAAAAGGAAGAGGGATTGTCTCACTCTGTCACCCAGGCTGGAGTGCAGTGGTACGATCTCAGCTCACTGCAACCTCCATCTCCCGGGTTCAAGCGATTCTCCTGCTTCAGCCTCCCAAGTAGCTGGGACTACAGGCGTGAGCCACCATGCCTGGCTAATTTTTGTATTTTTAGTAGAGATGAGGTTTCACCATACTGGCCAGGCTGGTCCCGAACTCATGACCTCATGATCCGCATACCTCAGCCTTTCAAAATGCTGGGATAACAGGTGTGAGCCACCGCACCTGGCCCTTATTCTTTTCCTTAGTAGGATTCTAACAGCTAAACCTTGGAATTCTGTTTGAAATCACCCAGCCATAAACACAACTGACAAATTTTCTAAACTCACTATGGGAAAGAAAAAGGTAAATAAAAACTTTTAATAAATAGAATATAAAATTAGATTTTTTTTTTCCTGAAACCCAACTCTTATATGCTTTTTGGACATATTTTCTTACCTTTGAAATGCTACTAATAAAATGCAATTTACATTTAAAAAAACTAAAGTCACCGGCTACACGTGGTGGCTCACACCTGTAATCCCAGCACTTTGGGAGGCAGAGGCGGGTGGATCACGACGTCAGGAGATCGAGACCATCCTGGCTAACACAGTGAAACCCCGTCTCTACTAAAAATACAAAAAAATTAGCCGGGTGTGGTGGTGGGCACCTGTAGTCCCAGCTACTGGGGAGTCTGAGGCAGGAGAATGGCGTGAACCCGGGAGGCAGAGCTTGCAGTGAGCCGAGATCACGCCACTGCACTCCAGCCTGGGCGACAAAGCGAGACTCCGTCTCAAAAAAAAAAAAAAAAGTAAAAATAAGTGCACAAATCTTTTCAAGGTGACAAAGCTAGGGAGTGGCAATGCTGATTAGAAAACAGATGTGTCAGCCCCGCATGGTGGCTCATGCCTGTGATCCCAGCATCTTGGGAGGCCGAGAGGGGTGGATCACCTGAGGTGGGGAGTTTGAGGCAAGCCTGGCCAACATGGCAAAACTCTTGTTTATACCAAAAACACAAAATTAGCTGGGCATGGTGGTGCATGCCTGTAATCCCAGCTACCTGGGAGGCAGAGGTTGCAGTGAGCCGAGATGGTGCCACCGAACTCCAGCCTAGGCAACAAGAGCAAAACCCCATCTCAAAAAAAAAAAAAGAAAACAGATGTGTCTAATTCATGTGTCAAGTCAGGTCACCAATCACGTGAGAGACTCTCCCACCCCATCCTGCTCACTTAAGTGCTCAGTGACCACCCTCTCACTGCACTATGCCTCAGTGACCGCCCCAAGTGCATTTTACTTTGCAAGTTTTTGCATCGTTTCACTGACGTCACTTTTTTTTGTCTTTTGAAATGCTATTTTTTCTTTCACAAATCTTAGACAATCCAGGGGACAGAAATTATCTCTGTTTTTCCCTCAATACCAGTATCTGATTGGCTGTCATCAGCAATGTGTCTCCAAGAAATGGAAGCTGGGTTGAGTAAAGGCAATCTTAATGTCTCAAGGGTTATTTTTTCTTTTTTTGAGATGGAGTTTCGCTCTTGGTGCCCATGCTTTAGTTCAATGGCGCGATCTCGGCTCACTGCAACCTCCACCTCCCAGGTACAAGCGATTCTCCTGGCTCAGCCTCCCAAGTAGCTCTGATTACAGGCATGCACCGCTAGGCCCAGTTAATTTTTTTGTATTTAGTAGAGACGGGGTTTCACCATGTTAGTCAGGCTGGTCACGAACTCCTGACCTCAGGCGATCCACTGCCTCAGACTCCCAAAGTGCTGGAATTACAGGCATGCATCACCGTGCAGGCAAGGGTTAGTTTTTCAAAGGAAGAGCGCAGGTGAGAGTCCTATCAGTCCAAGGGCATCCATCTGCTCCACTGAGAGGCTACACTCCATACCTCAGGTTGTTTTATGAAAGAAAACAACCCAGTAGATTATATTCACTAGACACTCAAGCAGACATAGCCATGGGAGGTATATTGGTTTATTCACAGAAACTACTGAAGCCCAGAACTAGAAAAAATTGAAGGGTGGCTGAGGCCACATCACCCATAAAGTTTCCAAAGGGAAATCTTGACCCAAAAATATTCTGATACTATCTCTGTGCCTAGAGAAGATTTTTTAAAATGAGGCGAAAAGATTTTTTTACAATACAGTGTCAGGGGATTGTTCTTCTTTTTCTTCTCATAAAAAAATATTTTCAGCCGGGCGCGGTGGCTCAAGCCTGTAATCCCAGCACTTTGGGAGGCCGAGACGGGCGGATCACGAGATCAGGAGATCGAGACCATCCTGGCTAACACGGTGAAACCCCGTCTCTACTAAAAATACAAAAAACTAGCCGGGCGAGGTGGCGGGCGCCTGTAGTCCCAGCTACTCGGGAGACTGAGGCAGGAGAATGGCGTAAACCTGGGAGGCGGAGCTTGCAGTGAGCTGAGATCCTGCCACTGCACTCCAACCTGGGCGGCAGAGTGAGACTCCGCCTCAAAAAAAAAAAAAAAAAAAAATATTTTCAAACGGAAAACGATTTTTTTAGTGCCAATGTCAAAAAATGGTTAGAATACAGTATCTAAAGTGTAAAAGACAAATAATTGATAATGTGAATTAGAAAGGGGAAAGTGGCATTTGACAATGTGAGAAGAAACTGGAAATTTAGTATTTTACTACAAGTCATAGTTAGTCTGGAGGAATGGGATGTGAGGGGTAGGCTTGAGACCCAGCTTGAGAGAACTGCGGAAAAATGCAGGGGAAAATCAGTCCCCTGTGGAGTGTTAAAATAACTAAGTAGCAGGTAATGAGACTGAGGTTACTCTAGTCCCTGGGTTCCTACTTTTTAAAAACCCTAACTCAAATGCTTTTTTTTTGTAAATTACTGGACTGACGGAAACAAAATTTAGGCTTAATCAATCATAAACTGCCAATTAACCTCTGATTACATAACCAGGAAATGTCCACCTTAATCGTACAAATCAAGTAACTATGAACTGTACCTAACCAATTATTTAATTTGGTTTTCTTCATCATGTACCTTTAAAAGTCTTTCAAGTCGCTCTCATAAGTCACAAGCTACAAACCACAGCTGAGCGCTCCACAATTTTTGATTCAATCTTTGATTAAATTCTACAATATTTTTGTGGTGACCCCTATTATTTATTTATTTATTTATTTACTTACTTATTTTTTGAGACGGAGTTTCGCTCTTGTTGCCCAGGCTGGAGTGCAATAGCGCCATCTCGGCTCACCGCAACCGCCACCTCCCGGGTTCAAGCGATTCTACTGCCTCAGCCTTCCGAGTATCTGGGATTACAGGCATGTGCCGCCACGCCCGGCTAATTTTGGATTTTTAGTAGAAACGGGGTTTCACCATGTTGGTCAAACTGGTCTTGAACTCCTGACCTCAGGTGATCCACCTGCCTCGGTCTCTCAAAGTGCTGGGATTACTGACGTGAGCCACAGCGCCCGGCCCTCCCATAAAATTTTAATAGGAGAAAATAGGAACTGGGAACCCCATGGACGAAAACTGTTCCCATTAATGAACCCGCACCCTGAGTCAGGATTCTCCCGTGACGCCCGCCCCGTGATCCCTGCACAATCTGAGAGAGATGCGGCACTGCGGGTACAGAGCTGCCAGAGAGGGCTACAGGCCAGGGCACAGTCCCTACGCAGAGAAGAGACGGACGCCCCGGGGCCTGGTTGTCAGGGCGCCGCCATTTTATGGCTGCAGGGGACTGAGGCCGAGCTGGGGAAGAACTCGGGGTGCAGATTGTGGAGCTGACTGCCGGGAGGCCTGAGTCCCGCTATAGCCACTTCCCACCGGTTCCAACCAGCCCCTTCCACCTCTGGGGGTGTCGCACCCGGAACGCTCACCATTTCTAGGCTTCCAGGGGGTCCTGGAGTCTTAGCTGTGGATCTCCCAGTTTCCGCAGGTCACAGGCCCACTGAGGCTGGACCTCTAGGAGCAGAGGACACAGAGCAGCGAAGGCGAAACCTGGAGCTCCGGCTGCAGCCAGAGACAAAGGCGCCGCCAAATCCCGGAAGCCATCTTGTCTGCTCCAGCTGCGTGCCTGATTGGACGGTTCCCAGCCCAGCGTGCCTGATTGGACAACGTTTAAGGTCCTGACCCTTCAGGCCCTGAGTGACAGAAGATGTGATCAGACACTGGGCTGAATGCAGAGTGACAGCCTACGCTGCAGCCTTTTCAGCCAGGGCTTCCTCTTTTAGCTGAGCCCGGCCCATCCCAGAGGGTATTTGTATTTAACCTTGTGTATAAGGTCATATACACTTGTAAATGATATATGGCTACTCACAAATAAAAATAATATAATAATAATTATTTTAGAATTTCAGATTTTATGACCTTCCTGGCTTCTGGTCCTTTGAGTAGGCAGCCCGAGAATTTTAAAAAGAAGCAATCCTCAAATAAAATGTGAGCCACATGTGAATTTTAAATTTTCTAGTAGTCAAATTTTAAAAAGAAAAAAACAAATGGAATTGATTGTAACAATTTAATTAACCCAATATATCCAAAGTATTATTTTAATATGGGAGCAATATGAAATTATTAATGAAACACATATATATATATACACACACACACACACCACACCACACACACATATATGTGGAACTAAATCTTTGAAAATAACTGTATTTTACCTTTCTAACACATTGCAATTCAGACCAGCCACATTCCAGGCACCCAGTAGCCACACGTGGCCAATAGCTGCCACATTAAAGTGCAGCTCTGATGTCAGGGGAGTGAAGAGCCTGAACATCCCTTTTTTGCCAGAGGTGAATGGACAGCTTCTCTCTACCAACATCTCTCTTCAATTCCAAGGAAGAAACAGTTAGTGACCATAGAAAGAACAGAAGACAGATAGAATAAAATAACCACAGGTCGACCTGTGGTTACTTCTGGTTATTTTATTAACCACTGCTGCCCCCCTGTTGCTCACCTTAATTCCAAACATCAGACAGTGAACAAAGAATGATGAAGCCACAAAACAAGAAAACTCTTATCTTCAGATCTGTCCACAGTCTTAACCTCCAATGTTTAGATATGGAGAAAATAGATTAAAGGCAAACTTATTTTGCTATTTGGACTTGGCCCTAACGGTCAGTCTGTGGTTATTGTTATGCGCGTCCATGTGAAGAGACTATCAAACAGGCTTTGTGTGAGCAATAAAGCTTTTTAATCACCTGGGTGCAGGCGGGCTGAGACCGAAAAGAGAGTCAGCGAAGGGAGATAAGGGTGGGGCTGTTTTATAGGATTTGGGTAGGTAAAGGAAAATTACAGTCAAAGGGGGGGTTGTTCTCTGGCGGGCAGGAGTGGGAGTCACAAGGTGCTCAGTAGGGGAGTTTTTTGAGCCAGAATGAGCCAGGAAAAGGAATTTCACAAGGTAATGTCATCGCTTAAGGCAAGGACAGGCCATTTTCACTTCTTTTGTGGTGGAATGTCATCAGTTAAGGTGGGGCAGGGCATTTTCACTTCAGGCCATCTGGGCGTATACATGCAAGTCACAGGGGATGCGGACGTGCAAGTCACAGGCCATACGTGCAAGTCACAGGGGATGCGGACGTGCAAGTCACAGGCCTATACGTGCAAGTCACAGGGGATGCGATGGCTTGGCTTGAGCTCAGAGGCCTGACGGTTATCTGTTTTCTCCTGTGGTATGGGGGACTGTGTGAATATAAGCACCAATCACACGCAGACATGTCTATATGTTTTTTTTTTTTTTTTTTGAGACGGAGTCTCGCTTTGTGGTCCAGGCTGGAGTGCAGTGGCCGGATCTCAGCTCACTGCAAGCTCCGCCTCCCGGGTTTACGCCATTCTCCTGCCTCAGCCTCCCGAGTAGCTGGGACTACAGGCACCCGCCACCTCGCCCGGCTAGTTTTTTGTATTTTTTAGTAGAGACGGGGTTTCACCGTGTTAGCCAGGATGGTCTCGATCTCCTGACCTCGTGATCCGCCCGTCTCGGCCTCCCAAAGTGCTGGGATTACAGGCTTGAGCCACCGCGCCCGGCCTATATGTATTTTTGCATTAGTCAATATTCTCTTACAAGACATTGGACTTTAAATCAGGAATAAAGGTAATGTAAGTCTTTTTTCTTGCCTTGGCGCTGCCCACAGGGTGCATCGTGACATACTGCTAAGTTCTGCATTCAGGTTATGTGACTTTTTTCTTTTACCTAGGCCCAGAATATTTTGCACAATAGGACATATTACTAGGCCCAACATATATAAAACGGGAGGCCCTCGCCTGGGCCCTTTCTACAGAGGGCCTTGTGACATATCTCTACATCAATCACCTAAGAGATGCAACTCTCCATTTTTCCCTGCACTGTGCCCACAGGAAAAATTGGGACTTATCACTAAGCCTAGGTACCAGGTAATGTGTCTCTCCTGCCTGGGCCTTGAACCACAGAGAGCATTGTTACCTATTGCTGGGCTCAGCATCCAGGTGATTTGACTCTGCTGCCTGTGTCCTGCTGTCAGGAGAAAATTGTAACATATTCCCGACTGAGTATTCAGGTGATGTGACACTCCTGTCTGGTCCCTGCCCTCAGAAAATATTGTGACATATTCCTGGCCCAAGTATGAGAGTCAACATGTCCTTCAGCAACACTTCAGGGCCTTTAACCTTGGGTACATCATCTCACAATTCAGAAGGGCCCCTCCAAACTCAGGAATGAACAAGTGGCTGTTGGCTGTCTAGGTTCTCCATGAGTTCACATTTAACATTGAATTTATGTCCGCCCTTCCACCTGAGTCCCCAGAGTCCTGTGTATAATTCTTACACCTTTGCATAAGAGCTTAGCTCCCACTATGAGTGAGAACATACAATATTTGGTTTTTCATTCCTGAGTTACTTCACTTAGAATAATTGTCTCCAACTTCATCCAGGTTGCTTCAAATGCCAATATTTTGTTCCTTTTTTGACTGAGTAGTATTCCATTGTTTGTGTATGTGTGTATATATATATGTATAGATATGTGATATATATGTGTGCATATATATTTCTTTATCCACTCATTGGATGATAGGCATTTAGGCTGGTTCTGTATTTTTACAGTTGCAAATTGTGCTGCTATAAACATGTGTGTGCATGTGTCTTTTTAATATAATGATTTCTTTTTCTGTGTGTAGATAACGAGTAGTGGGATTGCTGTATCAAATGCTAGTTCTACCTTTAGGTTTTAGTTTGTTTGTTTGTTTGTTTTTGTTTTTGTTTTGAGACAGATTCTCACTCTGTCACCCAGGCTGGAGTGCAGTGGCATGATCTTGGCTCACTGCAACCTCTGCCGCCGGGGTTCAAGGGATTCTCCTGCCTCAGCCTCCAAAGTACCTGGGATCACAGGCGCCTGCCACCACGCCCAGCTAATTTTTTCTGTATTTTTAGTAGAGACAGGGTTTCGCCATCTTGGCCAGGCTGGTCTTGAACTCCTGACCTCCTGATCCACCTGCCTCAGTCTCCTAAAGGGCTGGGATGACAGCCGTCAGCCACCAGGCCCAGCCCTACCTTTAGTTCTTTTTTTTTTTTTTTTGAGATGGAGTCACGCTCTGTCGCCCGGGCTGGAGTGCAGTGGCCTGATCTCAGCTCACTGCAAGCTCCGCCTCCCGGGTTTACGCCATTCTCCTGCCTCAGCCTCCTGAGTAGCTGGGACTACAGGCGCCCGCTACCTCGCCCGGCTAGTTTTTTGTATTTTTTTCTTTTTTTTTTTTTTTTCGCTCTGTGGCCAGGCTGGAGTGCAGTGGCCGATCTCAGCTCACTGCAAGCTCCGCTCCCGGTTACGCCATTCTCCTGCCTCAGCCTCCGAGTAGCTGGACTACAGGCGCCGCTACCGCCCGGCTAGATTTTTGTATTTTTTAGTAGAGACGGGGTTTCACTGTGTTAGCCAGGATGGTCTGATCTCCTGACTCGTGATCGCCCGTCTCGCCTCCCAAGTGTTAGGCTGAGCCCCGCGGTTTTTTTTTTATGACGGGTTCCCGTTACCATGTCTCCTCCTGACCTCGTGATCTGCCCGTATGGGCCTCCCAAAGTGCGGGATTACAGGCTTGAGCTACCGCACCCGGCCTCCTTTAGTTCTTTAAAAAAATCTTCATTCTGTTTTTTCTTTTATAGTGGTTGTACTAGTTTACATTCCCACCAGCAGTGTAAAAGTGCTTTTGTTTCACCACATTCTTGTCAACATCTGGCATTTTTAAATTTTTAAATTAAGACCATTCTTGTAGGAGTAAGGTGGTATCACATTGTGGTTTTGATTTGCATTTCCCTGATAACTAGTGATGTTTAGCATGTTTTTATATGTTTGTTGGCCATTTGTATATCTCCTTTTGAGAATTGTTTATTCATGTTTTCAGCTTACTGTTTCATGGGATTTTTTTTTTTTTTTTTCTGATTCTTTTGAGATCCTTGTAGATTCAGAACATTTGTCTTTTGTTGGATGCATAGACTGTGAAGATTTTCTCCCACTTGGTGGGTTGTAAGTTTACTCTGCTGATTATTTCTGTTGTAGTCAAGAAGGTTTCTGGTTTAATTAAGTCCCATTTTATTTTTCTTTGTTTTTGTTTTATTTGCTTGTGGGTTCTTGGTCATGCACTATTTGCCCAAGCCAATGTCTACAAGAGTTTTTCTGATGTTAGCTTCTACAATGTTTACAGTTTCAAGTTTTAGATTTAAATCTTTTCTCCATATGGAATTAATTTTTGTATAAGGTAAGAGATGAAGATTCAGTTTTATTCTTCCACATGTGGTTTGCCAATTATCCCAAGAGCATTTGTTGAATAGGGTGTCCTTTTCCTACCTTATGTATTGATTTACTTTCTCAAAGATCAGTTGGCTGAAAGTATTTGGCTTTATTTTTGAGTTCACTATTCTGTTCTATTTGTCTGTGTGTCTACTTTCATACCAGTAGCATGTTGTTTTGGTAACTACAGCCTGGTAGTGTAGTTTGAAGTTAGGTCATGTGATGCCTCTAATTTTTTACTTTTTGCTTAGTCTTGCTTTGGCTATGTGGGCTTTTTTAAGGCTCTATATGAATTTTAGGATTTTTT